AAGTGACAAAATTATAAAAATGGAGAACTGATTAGATCTTGTGAAGGGTTTAAAGAGGAGGTGGGGAGGGAGGGTAGAGGGCATAGTAAACAAGAGAAACAAGAGGAATACTGTGGTGATAGAAATGTTCTGCATCATGGCATCAACGTCAGTTTCCTGGTTTTGACATTGTACTGTAGTTTTGCAGGACATTACCATTGGGAGAAGCTTGGTAAAGGGTACACAAATCTTTTGCTATTATTTCTTACAACTGCATGCGAATCTACCATATATCAAAATAAAAAATTTAATTAAACAAATCCATATTTCCAGCTTAATTTTTTGTGATTCTTAAGCATTCAGAAAGATTTATTTGACTAGTAAATTATTTCTTGTCTTGGCATTTCTGTATCTTATTTTAAGAAAGATAGTGTTAGTGCGTTAGTATACATTCTGATTTTAAAAGTAAAACATATTGCCTTAAAAAACAATGTATTTTTCAAATAATTTTTTTAACAATTTTATTAAGATATAATTCACATACCATACAATTCACCAATATAAAGTGAACTATTCAATAGCTTTTAGTGTATTTATGGCATTGTATAACCATTACTACAATCAACTTTAAAACATTTTCATTACCTCCAAAAGAAACCCCACCTTGTCGTTCAGTTGCCCCATCTGCCCAGCCCTAGAAAACCACTAATCTACTTTCCATCTCTATAAGTCTGTAATTTTAAAGAGGATATTCTATTAATGATTTAAATCCAAGGTTAGCAAAACAATTATTTTAAAAAGTACTCGTGATTTTAGCATAATACTGTTTATTTTCCTAAATGACTTTTATTTTTTGTTTTTACTTTACATATAGAATTAAATGCTTATACATCTTCCTCTTTCTATGTAAATAACTAAATGGGTCTCATTCTCTCTATATTTTTTTATTCTGGAAAGATAAAAGTTTGTGTTTCTGAAGGAATTTTTCCAAATCTGTAGTACCATCTATTGAATTTAATTGAAAAATTATGAATTAATTATTTTATTGTTATTAATTATTAATTACTTAGAATAATACATCATGATTTGTTTTTGTTGGGGTGAGAAAAGGGGATCTTACTCTCCTGACTAGAATTCATATGGCATGTGATGGTATTCACATCTGCTACTGGTGCAGCTTCAGGAATTTTAAGTCACCTTATCCGTGGACTCCTGTCTTCTCGCCAGGATGCCTGCTGAGCTCTGCTCTGCCCCCTCCTGCTGGCGCCCCCTTTCTCTGAGGCAGCCAGATTCTCCTGGGTGCTTCTTAGCAGAGTCTGTAAAGAGCTGAGATACTACAAGCTATTAACATTATTCAATCATGAAAAAATTGGCCTTTGCTTTCCTTATAATTGTTTTGAATTGGCAGCAATTTCTCAATCCAATAAAATGTCCTCACTTCATTTTCTACCTATTGTGAATCTGTTAAATAAGATTTGCTAACTAAGTAAAATAGAGATTATTATGTATGTGAGAGTGTTTAAGCTATCTAAATAACAAATTGTTTTTATCTCTATAAAAGCATTCATTGTACAGATAGAAGCAATTAAAAAAATTGTCTCTGTTTCAACCAGTACTTGAAGCCTTTTTTATGATGCTTTATTGATTAGTTGTGATATAATATGAAATATATGAAATGTTGTCTTATAATAATATTATCTGTTTTAAACCTTTAAGTAATTCTGAATGTTTCTCCTTCTAAGCAGACAAAGTAAGATTGAATAATATTCCATAATTTAAAGTTACAGCTTTATTTTAATTTTTATATATAAAATTTCAACAAAAAGGCAGCTAATTTCTTCTAAAAATAGATTTGGTAAGAACTTTTAAAAACACGAATGTGTATTTACCCCTGACTTGATATTTTGCATT